CAAGGAAAAGATGAACCCATTAATAACACAGATATTTTTCCTTCCAAATACAATAAACATTTGTGTTTTCCATGGACAAAGATTTGATATTTATTTATTTATTCAGCTCAAAGAAAATTATGATGTCACCAATTTTAGGGATGATAAAATATTCCCTCAAATTTGAATTCCTTTTTAATGAATCTATTCACTTATTTACTTTACAGTATTTATTGTATACTTCCAGAGTCCATGAAAGGTACTAAATGTCAACTGAAATTACAGCTGAAAACAAATCTATTGGGGAATACAGCTATTATTAAATCAGACATCAGCTGAGGTTATACAGTTTTTTTGAGAGTTAAAATTTATTTGAGTTTCCTAAGATGTGCCCTATAGAAAATTCAATACCTTTGCCAAATACTCTGAATTACCTCTTTCTTAATTTTTTTTCCCAATTCTGCTTCCAAATTTTTTGCTGATTCATATAACTCACTTTTACAACTGTTTCCTCTTAGTGTCTTACCAATTCAGTTGTAAAACACAGCTCTCATCAGTGGACATAGCATATATCATAAATTTGAAAACAACAAATCACTTGTGCTGTACAATTTACAAGCAGGTATCAAATATTTTATTATTATTTAGAAAGAACTTTATTCTGTACCAGGAATTGTTTTATATAACTTATTTTGGTCACTCTAAAAATTAAATATGTTTCTTAATCCAATTTCTGTGTAAAGTCTAGTACCAGACAATAATTTTATTTCTTTTTTTATTTCCTTTTCTTTGGGTGTTTAATTCAGACCCCAAATGTCTACTCATTTCTTATCAATATAGTTTTAGCTGATTTATACTTTATTGTCTTATAATCACCTAAATAAAACCACTCTATAACAAAAAGTTCAGTTTTTATTTCTACTAGGTAATCTATCTATAAAATTTTATAGACAATAACACTTTCAAAAAAGTTCTATAAGTAATTAGTTGATATTATATAATACAATACAGGATAGGACAAAAGTAAGTTTACATTTGTGAGTACATGAAACACAGAGTTTATTCTTGTATTATTATTTAATAATTTAATTGTATTTTTTCCATACGAACAACTGTAAACTAACTTTTGCCCCACCGTGTAAAACAGAATATAATATAAATGTCCAAGGGTAGAGAAGGGTAGAATACTATGTAATCCATAGGAACACCTGGGGAGGAATTAGGATGAGCTGGCCTATTCTAATTAAAGTGACATAAGGAAAAGAAATAAATCTGTGTTATACACAGACAGTCCATGATGTAGATAGTTGGACTTCCGATTTTTTGAGTTTGCAATGGGGGGAAAGCGGTAAACGTTCAGTAGATACCACATTTGTAATTTTGAATGGTTATCCTGTGGTACAACACTACGTCACGATGCTGGGGAGTGGCAGTGCCGCGGCAGCGGCAGCTCCAGGTAGCCACGTGACCCGGAGGGTAATCAGCTGATACTCTACAGTGTTCTGTGCTGTATTCATTTTTTGTTTTAGTTCAATGCTTCAAACATTCTTTAAGGCCAGGGTGCTTTTGGCTGCGTCTATTAACGAGAAGTAGCCATACAGCCATTGTGTTTTTCACTTTCAAGACAGCGCCCAATAAATTACATGAGATAGCCAACAGCTCATGATAAAATGAACTTCGTGTTAGATGATGTTGCCCAACAGTAGCCTAATGTAAGAATTCTGAGCACTGTTTAAGGTAGGTGAGGCTAAGCTATGGTATTTGATAGGTTAAGTGTATTAAATGCATTCTAAATTTATGATATCTGCAATTTACAAGGAGTATATCAGGACGTAACCCTAGCATAAGTCAAGAAGCATTTGTACAGTTAAGGAAAACCTTAAACAGCCAAAACTAAAGTTGAGAAGGTATACTTGACATGGATGGGATTCAGTACGCTTTGCATGTGGACTGTGGAATGCAAGAGAGGGATGCAGACAGGAGGCAAAGTAGAACAAAATATACTCACTATGGATATGCACTGCTGCTATTAAAACATTTGAGTTTTTCCTAAAAATAAAAATATTGGAAGGGTTTTAAGAAAGTGATCATTTTCTGTCCTGGCTGATGTGGCTCAGTGTATTGAGTCCCAGCCTGTGAACCAAAGGGTCGCTGGTTTGATTCCCAGTCAGGGCACATGCCTGGGTTGCCGGCCAGGTCTCCAGTTGAGGGTGTGAGAGAGGCAACCACACATTGCTGTTTCTCTTCCCCTCTTCTCCTTCCACACTAAGTCAAAAAATAAATAAAATCTTTTAAAAAAATAAACAAGGTGATCATTTTCAGAAAATTGACTATAGCTACAATATGGAATATGGATCAGAGGGAACAAATGTGAAAATTCAGAAATTAGGAAGTGTTGTGGAAATTCAGATAATAAATGATTGCAGTTTAAAACAGGATAATAGCATTGGGAATGGAGAAAAAGAAAGAGGTATCAGAGAGTTTACTATGAGCCCATACTCATTGAATTTTGAAAATTGTTGCACATTGGACAAATTGGTAGATTTATATTTTAGGCATTAAAGGCAAAGTCTATCTGGTTAAACTGATTGCTTGTTATTTAAGTGTGTTTTGTTGTCAGGCCCTAAGATTTGATCTACAATTTGGAAATGATAGAAAATGAGTAATTTATTTTATAGTTGGAAATTTGATTTCCTTAAGCAAAATGCCAATAAAGAAAAACAAATAAGTTAAACAGAACTCCTTCTAAAACACCTTTTATGACAATTCCATAACCTGGTGCTTCTCAAATTTCAATGTGCATATACATGACCAGAGATCTTGTTAAAATGAAGATTCCAATTCCACAGTTTTGGAGAAGAGCATTTTTAATAAGTTTCAGTATGATATATTTTATTTGTAGGACTTTTCTGGCTGTTGCTGACATTCTTACTTATCAATTAGGCTACAAAAGACCTAATTTATATCTGAACACAATTCCTAGTTAAACCAAGTCCATTGATAATCCTGGCATAATGGCAAGTGAGAGAGTATTGTTGTGTTAAGATTTAGGTAAAATAAATATTTATCTTCATTTACTATATACTTTTACTGATCTCCTAATCAGAAAGTTCATTTAAGTTCAAGTTTCCCCTGCAAAGTGAAGGGTAAATGGGGCTTATTCCTTCTGTAAAACTCCTTGAATTAATTTTGGAATGACTGATTGATCTATATAACTCTCAGTACCTCCCAGTGACCAAAATAAGCACAATTTATTCAAGTTTAAAAGTGCAATATGGCTGTATCTGCAAGCAAATTTCTTTTACAATTAATAAAAATACAGATGGTTTATAATAGCTTAACTTCAAACTCAGAAGAGCTGCTCCTATTGTTAAACATAGTTAGAAATTTCAAATTAAGGTTAAACCACAGTGTTTGATTTTTATAAATGACTCACAGGCTCATTAATGATTTTGAATATTTTAACTTTGACTATAACTTTCATTTATGAAGCCTCAGTGTCTTTCTCTTATTTTATATACAGCCTTCTTTTGAAATATAAGAAAAGACACTACAAGACAATGTTATTCTTTAAACTTGTTTCTGGCCATAATTTTGAAAGAAAATAAATATTTGATTTAGTGAGAATATGTGAGCTATTACCAGTAGCAAGGTCATGAATATAAGTGAACTGGAGGAGTTCCGCATGACAGAAATATGTAGGGAGAGTTAGAAAATTACTAGCCATGTAATGTGAGAAATATTCATGCAATTTGGTATATTTGCTTTATACTTAGATTATACTAATAATTTGTAAACTATAAACATTTTTCTTTGCTCATTGCTCATGCTTCCGATTTATCTATGCAGTGAAATCAAAGACACATGAATGAATATAATATTGTTTTTCTAATTATTTGTCCATTAACAATAATGAGGATTCTGATTTTTCTCTTGTAATTGTAAAATTATTGGTTTGACGCAAATAACACATGTCAAAAAGGAAAATGTTTCCTTCTACTCTTGTAGGCTCTCTGGTTGGTCTACTAATCAAACTAACATGACAGATTAAGAGAAGAAAAACCACATTTAACTTTGTACAAATCAGGGGCTTCCCAAGAATGTGAAGCCAACAGGCAGAAAGGTAATTGAGGCTGGTAAGATAGGACTTTCTGAGGTCAGGAGAAGAAGGTAGGGATCTGAGACTTCAAAGGGTAAGAGGACAATTAACAGAGATATCAGAAAATGTTTGATAAACAAATGTGTGCCATGCCATGCAAAGTCTTTCTGACGTAAAAAGAAATTATCTGTGGAAATAACTTTCTTGCTTGCACAATTTCTCTGTCTAAATTATTTTAAGCAGCTTAACAGGGAAGGTAAAGTGAAAAATTTCTGAATCTTCTGTTTCTTAAAAAACAAACAGCCTAAAGTCATCCTCATGACAAAGAGACACATTTTGGAATGGCAAAATTTTATTCCCCTATATAGATAATGACCACACTGAATCAAAAAGTAACAATATAGATTTATCATCTAGTGGAACATTGTGTTCAGACAAAAATGCTTTAAAAAAAAGACTAATTTAAAAAAAACAGAAAAAGTAACTGAAAATTTTTTTCATTGTCTTTCCATTTTCAAGACTATTCTAAAATTCCCTGTTTTCATGAAATATTATCAGAAAATATATCTGTTTAGCTGACATATTGAATTTTCAAGTAATCAATTTACTAATACTAATTTAGTAAATAGAGCATTATTACCTCATATGAAGTATCTAAATCCATTTATATAACTAAAATTCATTTAAAAGTCAACATTTTCTTTTACCGTATTGTTTATTAAACAATACTTCAATGGCAGTAAACTCACCCTTTATGAAATAAGTAACTTTTCCTCTAATTTGACAGCTGCATGGGGTCATGCTTAGAATTATTATTTAAAAGAGGAGTATCACTGGCCCTTCTTAGTCTACAGACCTCTCACATCAGCCTCATACCATGGGGTGTATTCATTTCAGATAGTCATCTATTTAGGAAAATTAGGTGTTGGCATGGAAGCACAGACAGTAAAATAGAAATGAGAAGTGAAGACTAACATGGCCCTGTGCAAAGGTGACACCCAAATTTGTGAAGCATTCATACTTTTCTTCTGTAATAAAAATTGTTATTAAAAAAAAAGATTGAACTCAATGATGTCTAGTTAGGTGTAAACAAATTAAATATAAATAAAATTAAAATGTTGTGCCCTGGCTGGTGTGGCTCAGTTGATTGAGTTGAGGATGCTAAACAAGAGGTCACCAGTTCGATTCCCAGTCAGGGCACATGTGTGGGTTACCGGCCAGGTCCCCAGAAAGGGGTATATGAGAGGCAACCACACACTGATGTTTCTCTCCCTCTCTCTCTCCCTTCTCCTCTGTCTAAAAATAAATAAATAAAATTTAAAAAATAAAAAATATAAATAATGTAATTCTACTACAGTTAAAGCTCACAAAAAATGAAGTAACTTACAATTCTAAAAAATATTTCCTTGGTGTACAGCCAAATGTTAATTTTAACTAATGTTCTTTTTGTCTTTTTTTCACTTGAGAACTCAGTTTATAAAAAGCACCTAAAAAAACACTTTCATAATTCACAAAATTATCCATATTACCTATTTTGCATTGACCAAATCCATGATAGAATTGTTTAATTTTTAGTTTCATTTTGTCTGGATGGACTTCATGCTGATGTTGACAGCTGATATAATTACAGCATTATTAAACTTTGCTTCAAATAAAAATAAACCCAGGCTTACATAAAGAGAGACTTTATTCAAAAAACTAAGACAACAGGGAGAACACACAGAGCTCAGCAGAAATCTGTAAGTGTCTCAAAATAAAATGGCAAAATGCTTTTCTTTTATGGAGAAAGATAAGCAGAGCTTAGCAGAAACTTACAAGGGGAAGTTGAACAAGCCAGAGGAAGTGAGTAAGTAATATAAGAGAAGTCACCTGACAAGAAATGTGTCTGTTGAATCACCTGACTTGGGACAGCTGATGAGGGGGGCATATTCTGCATCTTTGTCCTTGCCCAAGGCTGGGGATAAGCCTAAGTTCAGGGCCTGTGAGACAGAAAGAAGCCTGGATACAGTTTGGTCAAGGCAAAACAGAGGGTAAGAAATTGCAAATACTTGGCCAGGAACTATTGCAGTATACTTGGTGTGTGTTAAGTATAATAACTGTTAGCCCAGTATTTGACTTTGCTTGCAATAAACTAATTCAATGCGTTAGTATATGGTTGTAGTATCACAGAAAGATATTTGGTCTTTACCCTCTTTCCCGGCACCTGAAACAGAATTCATAAAAACCTTGGAATTTCCTGAGTGATAAGTGTGATAGCTTTTTGTTCCAATGAGACAACTCTTTGTGAGTAGAACGCTAGATAGCTTCAGGATGATGGCTGCTTGCCAGCAAGATCACACCTTGATTAGAAGCTTGGAATTTTTAGCCCCACCCCCAACTTTTGATGTGTGGGAAAGGGTAGTGATCAAATTAATCGCCAAAAGCCAGTAAAATCTCCTTCAAAAAACCCTAAGAGATGGTGTTCGAGAGCTATTCAGTTCATGAACCCATAGGAGAGTACCTGGAAGCTCCATGATCCCTCCTTCCCATACTTTCCCCTATGCATGTCTTATATTTTGTCTATTCCTGAGTTGTATCCTTTATAATGAACCAAAAAATATATTTATAGTGTTTTCCTGAGTTCTGCATGTTATTACCAATGAAGTGGTGGTAGATCTGACTTCTAGAGAGCTTGACTCAGTGGATACCAAAAAAAGTGCAAAATAATAAAGAGCATGCCAAACATAAAATCCTTAGGTTATAATAATCTTAGGTTATAACAAGTAAAATGAAAGAAGATGCTGAGTTGGACCTTGATGGTGGATAGAGCTCAGGTTTCAGGCAGTCTGAGTTTCGATCACTAACCTCAAAGACACCCAAAAGGTAAAACTGTGCCAGGACAACAGAAAGTAATTCAAAAGTCTCTGGTTACCAAGGAGGTAATTCAATGTTGGGGAAAGGCAAAATCAAGAATCAACTGAACCCAGTGAGAGGGGTAAGTATACACAGAATGTGTCATTTTGTGGGTCAGTATCAACAGCTTCCTGAAGAATCTTCATTGACATGAATTAAGAGTGACTAATTTAGGGGCAGTATCTTTGTTTGGAAAAGCTTCAATGTGAAAGAGCAGTTTTGGTTTGATACAGGACCCACAGGCAGCTCCTTATGGAACAATCACAAACAGCGGCATATGATCCAGACACACAGCAGGTTATGCCCAAGGAAAGAGCCAGCCTAGTGTGCTAAAGAGAAACTACTATAGGCACTGTTTACCCTGAGGAGAGGGCTTGTCCAGCTTCCCCTATGAAAGCCACGTAGAAGACCCCCAAATGAATCAACTGGTATGCCTCACTTACAAGCCCTGTGAGACTGGCTTTATGATAATCTAGTTATTCATCCACTGAATATGCCTGTTACCCATGTTTTGGTAAATTTTATGATTAATATGACCCCTTTTGCAAGGGCACATCATGTAACCTTATTGCTATAAAACTGAGCAAAATCTCAGAAGCCTTATTTAATTTGCTGTCTTAGCTTCTCCTCATGGGCCTCACAGAAACTGAAAAACATTAGCTTAATTAACAAGAGGCAAAGGGGAGAGCAAGGAACATGTCATATCTATGTGGAAATCTTTAGATAGTTATTTAAAAATGAGATGAATAAAATGAATATTGATGGTGTTGAAACAGAGGTCTTCATGTATTGTTTTTGAAGGTCAAGTGGGAAGCAAGCCCATGCCAGTCTCCTAACATCATGAGGCCCCAAACAAGTTCATTATATTTGACCTTGTTTGGAGTCATGTTTTTTCTTGGGGGGGTGGACATAAAAATAAAGTTGTTTATTGAAGGCAAGAGGATAAAAACAATACAAGAATCAAAAGCTTATCTGGCTTTAATTGCCTTCTTTTTCTCTTATCAAATGAGGGTGTGATTTTATTTGCTCATGAAATCCTTATACAGGGAGAAGGTATAGGGCAGAGATTCCTTAAGTGACCCATTGGGAGAAATCTTATCAGGGCGGGAAAACTGCTCAGTGTTGCCTACTGCTTTCTCTCCTGCTCCATGTGTACTGCAAAATAGTCATAGCGAGTGATGGTGAGCTCTGCGATCAGAGAAGAGAAACTCTGGGAACCCACTCTGCTGTCCTGACACTGGTCCAGGTCCTTCATTATTTTATCCATGGCCAGAGGGTCTTTTTGGTTTTTCAAAAATTCATGAAATTCCTTTTCTGTGAGTACTCTCAGGTCCTCCTTCTTTAAGTAACCTTTATCCTTAGCAAATCTGTGAAACATGAACACCATGGTGTCTATGGCATGTTTCATTTGAGATGGTATTTTGGTGAGGTCTTGGTTACAGATCGCTCAGCTAGCTGGGGCATGCAGCCAGTGACTGGGAGTAATTTTAAAAGCAAGATGACAAATATTTCAATGAGAAATTGAGCAGAGAAATGTTTGGTGCCATAATTAGGTTGATTGATCAAAATAAACATTGACAACAGATCTGAGCCCCTCAGCTTGAAACCGTGATGGAGAATCAAAGCCTTCTATGCTTGAGTGGATATGGTAAGGGGTGAAGAAGAAAAGTTTCTGGGACTTCTTGACATAGGAGCCATATGAACTGTGGTACTGATACAGAGATCTGATCAGATCACTGGGGAGGAGTAGAGAGGAGCCATAGGAGGAGGGTGCCCAAGACAATGATAAACAACCTACGACGGAATTGGCTGAGATGCTGAATTCCTCCAGAATGCATGCAATTATGTACCAGAATATTTAAAATATAAGGAAGGCAGAGTCTGGCCCTCTGGCTCTCTCCTCGAGGAAGCCGGGGTGACCATGCTGCAGCTGCCTGTGTTTCCCAAAGGATGCTATTCTCAATGGGAAAAGGAACCCCCAGAACAGTCTAGGGTCAGGCTGGCCTGGCAGAGGGTGGCAGGGTTATTCCTCTTTGGGTGTCCCAGAGGGGACGGGCTCTGAGGCAGAGGCCTGACATTCTTCCAACATTGTATAGCTTTTGAGTCTTATGTTGTTTTAGTTTGAAAACTAACCCTATAGAAATAAGATAATTAAAAACCAACTGGGGAATGGTAGGAGAACTCAAGAGTTAAAGACTTCAGCCTTAATTGATTGGCTTAAGCGATTAATGCTGTAATTAAAGAGTTAAAGAGTTTAGCCTTGATAGGCTTAAGCAGCTACTGCACTTGGAAAGCTGTTATTTCAGAATCGTGTAGTTTTTGAATAAAGACTCCTTTCCTTTATTGCCAAAACTTTGCCTCCAGAATTTTGCCTAGAGCAGGGGTATCCAACCTGTGCCACAGGATGACTATGAATGCAGCCCAACACAAAATCCTAAGTTTACTTAAAACATTATGAGATTTTGTGATCACATGTTACAGTGTATTTAATGTGCAGCCCAAGACAACTCTTCTTCCAGCATGGCCCAGAGACACCAAGAGGCTGGACACCTTTAACCTAGCGGGTGGTGGTGGGCAGCAGGACCTCACTTGCTGTTTGGTAACAGTATCAAAACCCACTAGTGAAGCCCTACCATGGACTTCAGTGAGGGAATATAGAATGGTACAATTGATAGGATTAAGGTTTGGACGAGACCTGGAATATTTAAACAGACTTCATGTGATAAGGTGTGTCTCCTTTACTGAATATTTTATGAGAAGAATATTTTATGAGAATAAATATACCTATGGATATTATGTATGACTGGGCAATGCCTGTTCCACCTATTATTATAAAACTAAGACCATTTGAAAAAGTCCCAATGGAGGCTATAGTTAGTAATGTAAGGATTGATGTGATTAAGGTGAAAGGTTAAATGATAGTTTCTTTGAACAGGTTCTATTTAAAGTGGTTTTATCTCTTTTTCATGAATATATTATCAAGATGGACACTGTCTGGCTGGAGAAATTTCCCCTAGGAATTTCCCCCTAGCATAAGGCAGGTAAATCAACCCTTCAAGTGATATGCTAAGTGGAAACCCATAAAACTGCCTGGACCCCAACAGCATAGAACGAAGTTCCAGTGTATAGTTGGAGTGCTGCTACAAACATATTGTCTGTGTGGTATCTCTATGTGGAGTGTACATTAAGGCTTATATCAAAAGACTGTGAGTGCCTCCCAGCGATGATTACTGGGACTTTAGTTATGTCCATTTAAGGAGCAATTATTAGTTTGCCACCAGATGTGTTATAACTGGCGCTGTGATTGAAAAACACAAAATAATCTTGAAACCTGAACTAAGCACAATATGTTGAGTAATGTTGGATACATTTTCTTATGCAAAGGCCAGTGTCCAGAAAATTTCCATGATAAAATAAAAATTATATCGCCTAGATCTTTATTCTAGGAGAATCCAAGGAAGATATACAATGAGTAGGGAGCCTCTTTTCCCCTAGAACAGACTCAGTGACTGTGTGAAGAGCTGCTGGATTCTATTATCCTTTGGACAGGGCCCTGTAGACAAAAATCAAATTGACCAACAAGGAGCTGCGTGATTTATGGATGGCAGTTCCAAGGTTTGGGAGGTTACCACTTCGATCAAAGGAGGTAAAAACAAAACAGCTCAGTGGGTTGAATTGCTTGATGTCTGCCACGATGTTTCTGTTTTTACTAATTCATTGGTGTAGGCCATGTGGTCAGACAGAAGGGCAGTGGCAAACTAGCTTATCTAATAAACAAACTAAAATAGCAAGCAAAATAGAGACAGAGTCATAGATAGAGAGCAGGATGACAACAAGGGTGGGGCCAGATAAGAAATGGAGGGACTGAACAAAAAGGAAAAAGGGATCTTAGACACGGACAAAGTGTGGTGATTGCAGGGGGAAAAAGGGGTATAAGGAAACTAAATGATAATTTAAAAAAGACAATAAAAAATAAAACATCAACAACAACAAAAAGGGATTACCATATGGGGCACAACCTTATGGAAATGACTATGGGAATTTGACAGGTACATTAAAATAGAATATCTTGATGCCTATCAGAAGAGTCCCTTGCCAGGATGGAGGTGATTGGAATTGATCAGTGATGTTGTTAACGTGAAAGAGTCAGAGCACCAGGCAGTCTCCCCCATTGGTCAAAATGGTGGCATGGAGAACTACTTACAGTGAGCATGCAAAAAGCTAGCAAGGTAATTGCAAAGAGAAAAAGCTCTTCATTCAACTTCAGGTACCAGATTGGGGGTAGGACCAGGGGAAGGCAGGCACGTGAGCCAAAATGGTAGGGGAAGGTACTGGACCAGAGAGACCTGTCAGCTAGCCTGGGGAAAGAAGGTGTTAGTTGGGAGGCTGACCCATCTAAAGTGCATGAAAGTTGGGGAAGTTGATTAGTCATTATGAGAAAGCACTTGGTCCATCCCAAGCCCAAACTAATATAATCCCAGGGGAACAAAGAAGCTCTCTCTGTCTCTCTTGCTTGTGGCCTGCACTTGAACAGTACGCTCACCTCTTCTCTCAAATGACCATGTGGCTTTAGCAGCCATGACATCCAGGATGGAGTTTCCTGGTGGTGCTCTCATTGGTGCATTTGTGTGCTCTCTTGATTCAGAACACATGACCATGAGGACTGGGCAGCCACATGTCCCATAGCCATGTGGGATCGCCACCCAGGTTCTAGAAGGGAGCCTGAAATGAACAGCAGCCGGGAACAAGGTAAGCTACCTGGATGGGGACTAAGACCACTTAGCAGCTTCCTGTGGGCTCCAAAGTTCTGTAGTTTAAAATGAAGCAGGAACTCTGGACACTGGCTTTTGTCTTGGTCTTGCTGAGTATGGCTGGACTTTTTTCACAGCACAAAGAGGAGATGGGCTTTGAGATGGGAGTCTGCCATTCTCCCAAATCATGCAGCACCTAAGTAAAAACCTCTTCCTTTTGCTCCAGCATCTGCATCACAAGTTTGGTTTTTGTGGTGAAAGACACCCCAAACCTCTGTTTTTTTGTTCATATATAATGTGTTCATTTGTGGTCACCACCTGGGTCCATGAAATAAGTGGACCTGGTTGTAGGGCTTCAGAAATGCACAGATGAACTGAATCTATACATATTCCTTTTGAACCCTCTGAGGCACAAAATGACAATAATTGTCTTGTCTGCCAGCAAAAATATCATAGGGTACAGATGTCTATGCGGCAGATTCTCTGGGGGCAAAGATGGCAAGTTAGATTGATGCCAGAAGGAGCTACAAATAAGTCCTAACAGAACTTGACACAGACTCTGGGCTGGACTTTGCTGACCTGGTTGTAGATGTAAATACTGAGAACTCTCAAAGAACGGGAACAGAAGATTCTGTTCCAATTGTAACCACTGAGTCACATTTCTTGAGACCAAGAAAGAAAATGTATAGTGCATGATGTCCAACAATGGGCATTAAGATATCTTCCTTAGGGTAGTTCGATAGAGAATTGGAACAGTCCATGGAAATACTGATTGTCTAAGATGGGGCTAGATATAGGCTTGAAGGACTTGCTTACATCCCTTCGTTTTGTGTATTTGCATTGAACACGAGGTGCTTAAAGAATTTTCCCCACTAGATAGATTACTCTGTTTTTGTGGTGGATCCGAGGAACGGGGAATGGAGGAGGATGATGTAATGACTATGTAATCTTCCCGAGCAGGGAGGATGTTGGTGTGATGATTTTTTCTCTTTCCCAAATCACCTCAACTTTCTTTTTCCTACCAGATGTAATGGCATCACAACCAGGGCTGAAATGATAAGCGTTGGAAGCAGGGACAGTTCTTAAGCAAGAACGCCTAACTGTGTTTTTAAATCTTTATGTCAGAATTCCTAAGAACCTGACAAAACAGAATGTGTCTGTAGCCCATATGGCAAAATTGAGGTTAACAGTGAATGCAGCTATATTGCCTAGTAGTACAAATAGCCAACTACTTCTGTACCTCTATAACCCTACCGTCTTTGAATAGGAGTGGATAAGGAACAGTAATTGCTAGAGGAGTAGTGCTGCCTATAATCTAGACCAGCACCGTGGTAAACCCCAATGTTCCTTGTTAAAATGGAATTTGGGGCATAAATGAAGAGGAGGACTAGTACCCAAGGATAAAAGAATGAGGGAAATCTAGTATTACACTGTTAGAGATAAATAGGCCCAAAATGGCATCACTTGTGCTAAAGCCTCTGACGTAGTTGCAGTTTCAACCTTTACCAGAAATGTAATCTTAATCAATCAGTCTGGGATTTTCCGGTCAACCCTAAGGAGGTAATCTGTGACCTGGGCTCTCTGCGTCCCACAGGAAGAAGAGACAATCTGCACAAGAAAGCCTTGCCTATTGCCTGACCTCCCCCTACCAAAAAAAAAGATGATGTCCTGGGCCTTAAAATAATCCTATCTTTTCTTTTGATAATAGCTTCCTGCCCCACCCTTCTTCTTACAAAAGCCTCCCATGCGGTACAACTCACCCAAAGCTCCTTTCTAGTTGCCACATGAGATGCTGCTGGATTCATGAGTCCCTTAATAAAGCCAATTAAATCTTCAAATTTACTCGGTTGAAAATTGTTCTCTAACAATGTTAACACCTGGAAACTGGCTCGAAGCAAAAGATTATAGTGTCTCTAAGCTCAGTTAGAGCAGGTCCTTGTTCAATGACGTTTCACGATAACATTGATAAGATGTCTTAGGAAGTTAACTCTTGTTATTATCAGTAAGCCTATGATAAAAGTGGTTTGTTTTATCTTGCTTTGCTTTAAAGTCACAGAACTGATCAAGGACATTAAGTGAGGACTTGTTGTATATGAGATCCCTGTAGGGGTGAAGCCATATATTGCTGAGACCACTCCTGCTTTTGGAACCTGACAAGATCTAATGGAATTCTGCAAATTTGAGTGCCTTTCCCTGAGAGATATTTTCATATACTATGATGATGGACTGGACTAACTCTTAATGACTGAATGGAACCCTAGTAATGTGCCAGCATCTTTTAACTGTTAGGATCCTTTTCCTGTAAGGCATCCTTGGTCTAAAGCAGGGAGTAACCTGTGGTACCACAGAAAGATATCTAGTCCTTGTCCCAGTTCCTGGCACAGAGCTCCTAAACCCTTGCAATTTCTGAAGTGATAGAAGAGTCTTTTGTTCTAATGAGGTGGCTCTTGGACCCCTAGATATCTCTAGCTTCGGTATGGGGGCTGGTTACCTGAAAGAACACTTCTTGGTTGGAAGTTTTGAAATTTCAGTTCTACTCTCCAACCTTTGAGAGAGGAGAGGGACCGGAGATTGAGTTATTCACCAATGACCAACGAAATCTCCATAAAAATCCCTAAAAGACAACATTTGGAAAGCTTTTAGGCTGAGGAATGCGTGAAGGTACTGGGATGAGGGCATGCCCAGAGAGACTACGGAAGATCCTCACCTTCAACAGCCTTTTCCCTAGATCCACACATTTCTTGCATTTTTGGCTGTTTTTGAGTTGTATCCTTTATAATAAACCAGACAACATAAGCAAACTTTTTTTAAGTTCTGTGAGCTGTCCTCATAAATTTCAGATTTGAGAGAGTGTCGTGGGAATCTCCTGATTTATAGCCAGTTGGTCAGAAGTATGCATGGCTTGGGACTTGCAATTGACATTGAAGTAGGAGCGGTCTTCAGGAACTGAGCCCTTTTAACCTGTGGGATCTGCTGCTAAATACAGGTAGATAGTATCAGTGCTGAATTAAATTATTGAACTTCCTGATGATGTCAGCAAATTGAAGATGTGTTTGGTGTGTGTGGAGGGGGGAATATTCAATAGCATAAGATTCACTCTCTATTAAAGTTAGATAGTTAAACCTTTTTCTCATTTATAAGCACATCATTAATCCTAGCTCATTACATGAGTCTAATTGATCATACATGGGATTGAATGAAAGAAAGTGCTTAAGATTGTGAAAGCTATTCTTACCATTGAGAAAAAGAACACACATTCTACTAATGGGCTAGTAGTTTTAAATTTGCTTATAAAGGATACTATATTATTTTCATCTTTCCAAGTACTTGGGGACTATTACATCTTTAGGCAACTGACGCTTAACTAAACAATGCATTTTCAGTTGCTGTAATCTTTCTTCCTAACCCAGGGCGTTGATTCCATTAATCATTTCTGCTCTTCTCAGAACTCATTCCAAATCCCTGTGTGTATACAATGTTAAGGTAAATAAAGCAGAAAGAAACAAATCTGGTGTCATCAGAGTCACAAGCTCCAGGTAACGATTCATTCCTTTTCTTGGCTCAGGAAGCCACAGCCAGCCCATCGGAGATGATTGGGAGCTTGATGCCTTGCAACTCAGGTCATGGCAATTGTGGGATGAAAAGTACCATCTCCTGTGGGCTCAGCTCTGGTTTCAGGGACATCCAAGTCCTCCACCTCCCATGACACCTGAGAGGAGCTCTTATCTCAGAACCAGTCCCAACAAAGACAGTCTTGCGGTCAATACCTCTAAACCTATATTAACCCCACTTTTCTCCAGAGAACTGTGTTGTTTTTTTTTTTTTCTTCCTTTATCTAATCCCAAGAACGAGGCTTTAACTCTCCCCTGTAACTTTCTGGCCGGACTTCAAGCCCTTATATTTATACCTCTATTCTTAAATTTCAAGACTTGGGTTTTTTTTTTCATGGAGCCACACACAAAAATCATAAACTGTTCAGCCTGTTAAGCAAGATACACTGTATAAGACTTTCTATACACACATAGTTCCACTTAGTACTCATTGCAAAAATATGGTATAGTTAATATTTTCCCACATTTTCTGGAGAAGTTAAACAAATTAACACATATGATTAACAACTATTAAGTACCAACTGGTCAACAGGATCTAATTTGACTGATTCTGTTCTTCCTACCCTAGTACCCTATAGCACCCTGCCCATGGCCCACTTTCCAAAACATTCTTACCCTTCATCTACTTCATGTGGCTGGATCCCTTCACTTTGCATGCTGTTTTCAAGTTTTATCCATGTTGTAGCATGTGACAGTACTTAATTCCTTTTAAACAATAATATTTAATAATTAACCATCTATCATTCTTTATCCATTTATCAGTTGATGATGGATATTTTATTAGACTTTTTGCTTATAATCAATAATGCTGCAATAAATGTTTGTACCTATTTTTTAATATTTATTTTTATTGTGTGTGTGTGTGTGAGGACATGTTTTTATTTCTATGGTTGTTTTTATGTTTATCCTCAAGCCAGGGCACACTGATTAATGTGTTTGTTCTCATGCCAGTACATACTGTCTACATTACTGTAGCTGTATAGTTAGAAATAAAAAATCCTCCTCATTTTTTTTCAACATTGTTTTCACTTTTCTGCATTTTCATGTAAAGTTTAGTATCAGCCAGTCAATTTTTGCAAAACAAAAATCTAGTTTAATTTTTAATTGAGATTGTATTGAATGGATTGATCATTTTGGAAAGTAGGCCAGCTTAGACAATTAAATCTTTTGGTCATGAATTAATCTTTCCATTAATTTATATCTGCTTTTATTTTAACAATAATGTTGTTTTTTAAATTTTATTTCCAGATTGTTTATTGTCAATAAGTAGAAATGCAACTGAAATTTTTATATTGA